CTTTCAGCGAGTGCATCGAGTGCAACTGCAAAACCGAAACACACAACAACTCATAGTCCATCAGAGGCCATCGAAGATATCTCTGTAATTGAACCACAAATCGACGAAGTGCGATCGGATGCAGTCATCGACAGCAGCAGTAAACCAGCCTTCCCACCGATCCGAGCGTCTGCAGTCAAATCTGCGTATCCACAACAATCCGGCAAACAACAAACGCAAAGACCCGCAGCGCTTACGTCGCATAACTTACTGAATTCAACTGATAAAGAGTCCAGTAAGTGACAGTCACTATATTGATTTGCACGCTTACAATTAGTTTATATAGCAGTCAAATTTAGTCTTTTTAAACAAAAGCCTGAATTTATTGTTTATGATAGCAGTACGCTAAGTATTTAATCGCTTGAATATTTGTACACTTCATAAATTTCTAAGAATTATTCCGAAATTTCTTTCAGTCCGACAGGAAACACAAAAAGAAACAAAGAAAAAGATTAAGCTTATGCATAACTTTTTCTTTAAATTACATCTGGAAGGCTTGTCTTGATTATTCATCACATTATTTGTTAAGATGAACTCAGTATCGTGTAAAAGTCAAGAATTTTTTAATTGTACACGCAGAAATATCGAAGATTCTGAAATGTATTTGCAGGAATGTTTTTTTTCATATTTGAAACGGTTTCACTGGTTGTCGTTGAAATAATTGCAAATTTTGAATCATTTGTAGATGTGGTTGGTGATGTATGTTACGGTGATTGGCGATGGCCGGTTGGTTGTCGAGATTGTGACTATCGGGTGTCGTGGAACTACTTGGATGATACTGATGAAATTGAGTTCTCGGTCGAGACAAGAGCACCGTCGAATTGGTGGACCGGTATTGGCTTTTCACCCACTGGAACGATGGTGAGTTGACTGACAATGAGCGATTTATTCACTTACTGAGCGATTTGTTCACTTCATTCTGCACAATAACACATGTGAACGGAATGCTTCGAGTTGATGTATTGACGTTTCAAATCGTTTAGTCGCTCAATTACCTCAAAGTTGGGTAAACCTCAAAGTTGGGTAATCGAACCGTTAAATGAATTGAAGCACAATTTACAAGGAAACTTAATACGGGCTATCGCAAGGCTGATCATCACACTAGGCATTGATTAAAAGTGTCTCTGGCAATTACAGAATAAATGGACGATAAGAGAAAATTATTTGATACAAACCAAATCATAGCTTAGATCAGGATCACAACATCAGTGATACTGTTACACCACTCGGTTCCGAGTAAAACATTCCTCTCGTTCGCGTAAAAAAGTTTGGTTCAAAAAAGGGTAGTATCAGCTGAGTTGAGAATGAGTTTAAGGGGGTATTGTCAGCGATATTTTCGATAGTGTCCGTGTGATTGCAGTGAAAGTTTCGCATTATGATACAATCAAATGAACACGTTTAAATTTTTAGATGGAAGCCGATTTTATCATAGTGAAAAGTCGTAATGGTCAGTTAACACTTCACGATATGTACAGCACTGGATATGGACCGCCGCGAGAGGATTCTGAGCAGAATGTCTACACACCGACCGTTGTGGGAACGCATGTGAACGGCATGCTTCGAGCGCAGTTCACCAGGAAGCGTGATACGGGCGATCGCAAGGCTGATCACCGTTTCTCGGACACCACTTGCTATAAATTCTTGTTCCCAGTATCGGGTGGACGACTGGATGCGGTAAGTGAACTCCCTTCTGTATCATTTCATTTTTTGACAATAGTTGTGGGAATATTCGGTTTAATTCCCGTTATATCGCCTTATCTGCAGTTTGTTCGGATAAGCTCGCAACTTCAGGATAGTCAACTTTAAATCTTCCGAATTCTACTCATATAACTTGCATTCTATTTAAACAACCGTTTTCTGAGGAGAACATGATAGACTGTGTTTATTTCAGAACGGACAATTGATGAAGCATATCGCTACACCGCAAGTCTCCGAAAAGAAGGTCTGCATTAGGAGTTGCACGGCTCCTCAGACAATACAACGTAAATATTTATGAAGCCTTTCAATTTCTGCATCGACAAGTTTAATTCTTTTTATGGAAGCATAACGTGATGCAATATTTGTTTTATATTTTCATCAATAGAATATTTTCGATAGTGAAAAGAATGTGAATCGCTGAATATTTTGATGAAACAGTATGAAAGGTGATGAAAAAAAATTGAACATTTTAATTTATCAATCGATCTCTGAAATTACGATAAAAAGTAACGATAATGATAATGATCGTGGTAATAGGTAGTGATAATGATAATGATAGTAGGCTATAAAAATGGTGATAATCTCAAATAATAAATAATTCATCCGATCTTGAATAATGAATAATAATTCAACCCTGAATAATGATATTAAGTAATGAGTAATTAAATAATGATAATAGGCGTACTGGAACGGGATACACGAATTGTGAAATATTTCAGCAACGAGTTCATGTGAAACTGAATTCCGTTACCCGACCGGTTGTGAGGGTGCTGCTTGTGACTATATAGCGAAGTGGGAGTACAGTATGTCGAGGAAGGATGTACGCTTCGAAATCACCGCCAAAGAGGTGGGCCGATGGACCGGAATCGGTTTCTCGCGAGACGGCAATATGGCCAATTCGGACATCTACACCGGTTGGGTGTACGAGGGCAAGGCGTACGTTACGGATCGTTTCGCATACGGTCGGCAGCTACCGGCCATTGACCCGGCGGATCGTCAGGATATCTACGAGATCGGCGGTAAAATCGTGGATGACACCCAGGTTTGCGAGTTTTTCATCAGTCTTGTTGAGCGTCTATCTCGACAGAGTCGGATGGCTCTGTGAATAACGTTTGAACTTATCAGGATATATCTGATCAGCCTTTCGTTGAACTCTCTTGGAACCTGATCATGAACCTGATCTCTTTTTGAACCTGATCATGTATCTTTTTCATTCAACGTTTGTTTAAAAAACTAAACATCAAATCGCTCAGTGGATAGATAAAATGTTACGTTAGGCGTTGGAATTCATAAGATTCAGTGGTTTTCAGACGATAACATTCCGTCGTAAAGTGTTACCAGCGGACACGGTGACCGATTTTCCGCTCAACAAATGCTACTATCTGTTGTTCCCGATCGGTGGCGGCCGTGTGTTGGCGAGGAAAAGTCAGGATTTCCAGAATCCGAAGACACCGATCGGCTATCATGACTTGTATCAACCGCGAGTATCACGCACCAAAATTTGCATCTGTGATCAGGTAACCGCATTCATTTTGCAAAATCTCTTCTATTCACTTCTTCAATTAGCAATAACTCGCTGAAATTAAGTCAAGAAGTTGCGTATAGCAGTGGATTTACATCTGAAACTGTTTAGTAGTACACTGTTATTTTAACGAAACACTGAAAATTGATCAACCGAGATTCTGTGATAACTATTGATTGAAAAGTATCATTTCATTATCATTCAAAGTGTCATTCAAAAGTTGCATTTCGGTATAATTTCTGGTATACTCAACTTATGTAGTCAGAAATTTTCAGCAGTCATTTAAAAACAATTAAAATGAATCTCTTTCATTGTGTACATCAACTTTTACATTTTCCCATAGTTATTAAGCATAAATTTCGATACACATTTGTCGACCAACTACTTTACATTATACATTGTGTTTAAATTAAGTTAAAACTTTGAATCTGTTGGCTTTCTATTTATTGGTCAATTCGGTGCATTGGAATGTACTACTGGGTTGTTTGTGAGCGTTGAATGTAAATTCATTTTTGAGCTTTGTAAATTGATGATTCTGAAAGATTCCACAGCTGGTGAGTGGAACAAAAATGAAATTCTATCAAATTTGGGGTTGATACGCAAAATTGCGTTGTCTGTTTCGAATTCGAATAGATTATGCAAAAGATTCAATCGTCTTCAGAACGGAGTGCCGATAGCCTCAGAAGATGCGCCTCCAGCCGTGCGTTCTCGACGTCAAGCTCAGGATCCGTTCGATTTACAAGTCGATCCTTTCGTCGACACGCCACAAATCACCGAATCAGGTTTCTAAATCCTCACTGCGATACAAGAATATCCCAATAATAACTTTAGATATGTTCAGATTCC